CCCGTCTGCTGAGACAGGCTGATCTTCCTTCAGCTTCCAGCCTGAGTTCTCTCTCTTTTCTGGCTCCCTCTTGGAGAGACAACTTCAGTCTCCTCTCTGTCTCTCTCTCTCTCTCTCTCTCTCGCTCTCTATCTATCTATCTATCTATCTATCTATCTATCTCTATCTCTCTCTGCTTCTCTGCTCTCCTCCCCTTCTCCCTTCCCTTCCATAACCACTAAATAAATGTCCAACCTCACTCTGCATGATGTACCTGTCTGTCTGTCTCTCGCCTGCCCACTGCAGCCACATGGCTTGCCACCAGGGACCAGCCACCTTTGGATGTTCTCGTGCCCTGGCCCTGCCTAGGATTGGCTGCTCTTGGGACCCGCTGCCCACTGCCTGTCGGGGATCCCGCAGCAATTTTTAATAATTCATTACATTGGTGCGGCAAGACTCGGGAGGCTCTCCCGCCCCAATGCTCTCTCCCAAGGATGGGATCCTGAACCAGATATTGTTTTTTCACAACCACATGTTCCATATGCCTGAGTGAGATTTCTACAGCGTGATTTCTACTCACACCACCGGCTTCAATTGGTAAGTTTCTCCCATTCTGTTATGGTTGCTTCTCTTAACTAAAATTGTGCTTGGACTGACCCGGGGTCAGTCCGCCCTTGTTAGCGCTGCACACTCTGTGTGGTGCATTATACTGGGGGCCCAGGGTCCCTCAGATTCTTTCTCTTTTTTTTTCTATTTCTTTTCTTTTTATTCCCTCGCCATAAAAGGCCACTCAGAGTGGCCTCTGGCCTCAACCACTGGTCTTGCCATGTTCGTGCTGATTTGCACCCCTCCTATAGGGGAAGACGTCCCATTCTAGGCCTTGTGGTGTTGCCGCTTCACAGGTTTTCACAATTTCAGCTCTGGGTAACAAGCCATCCCTGTCTATCCTCGTGAGGTGGACGCCTTTTAGAGGCCCTAAAACCACAGGCCATAATACCCTACTTCTCCAGCTCCCACCCTCACTCCGCCGGTGTCCCGCCAGCTCCACTTTTATGGAGGCTTTCTGACTACTGTCAGCGGGAGGTTTATAACTACGGTCAGTGCACAGGCAAGGACCCTGCCATGGTTACTGCTGCCAACGTGATTGGTCAGATCCACGAGGCAGCTTTTTTTTCAATTCCAGCCTTTTGCTCCCCTCTGCAGCTTGGGGCATGGCGGCTCAGCCACAGGGAAGATCATGCCTCTAGGTCTCTCTTACTAAACTTAAAAGCCCTGCAGCTCAAATATTGTAGCTTTCTCATACACCACGTGACTGCTGTCATTTTGATTGGGATCAGGTGACTTTGCCACCATCTTGGTTGAGAGCCAGGTCAGGTGACCAGGTTCCACCATCTTTACTGAGATATTCCCTGCCTGGTTCCCCAGTGTTAACTCTGTTACATGGGTGACCTTATTGTCATCTTAACTGAGAGCCAGGTCAGGTGACCAGGTTCTCCCATCTTTACTGAAGTATACCCTGCCTTGTCCCCCAATTTACTTATGTTTTTTTTTTCTTTCACTAAATTCCTCTTGTTGATTCTATTGCATGTGTGTTTTGTGCAGTGGCATGCCTTTGTTAGAGCCCACCAAGAGCATCCACTTTCCTCAATTCCTGTTCACTCTCTGTGTGTTCATACATGTAACTTAAATGCACCTATGCTTATTGCTTATTACATCTCTTTTCAGACTACAAAACCAATAAGTTTCATGTTTCAAACTGGTATGTACTTTTAAGTCTCTTACAAAAATACTTTATATTTAATCCAACCCTCATTTAAAATATATTAAGCTGTTCTCTACTATTGTCAGTTCTGCCATTAACCTTCTATTGCAGGCAGTTTTTTCTTCTTTCTTTCTTTTTATGAGTGTAAATCTCACCTGTTCAGTTAAGAGCCAGTACAGTCAAGCTCAGACCCAGCCTTCCAGCAGATTCTATACTGTAGTGATACCGGATAAACAGCCCTCAACTACTCAGAGATCTGGGGAATATGATATTTAAATATTTAATTATTAAAAAACTTCACAACAAAAAGAGACAGGTTGGCTCTCTATTTCCTCCAAAGATGGCAGAAGACAAATGGGCACAGAACAATGTCCATCTGTAATTTGTTGCAACTGCCAAATGCTGACCACTGGGAAAAACTGCCTTTCATCTAAACTAAAGATCTCCAGACGTGGACAGAATTGCTGGAATCGACAGCCTAGCTGCTCAGGCCAAGGTAGGCTTGTCTTCCTACAGATTTCTTAGCCCACAGGATCTTCTGGAGCCTGGCAGGCCCTATGCTAAATGGCAAAAGGCAAATGCGACCCTCTGCGACCATGGAGGACCCTGAAGAATAGCTCTGGGTGCCAACCAAGTAAGTTCTCTGTCATTTTCTTAATCAGTAACTCAAGTAAAATTTTATCCTTCTCAAAGATCTCTGATGCAGTTTGACAGCGGAGAGGTTTTGTCAGTTTAAAAGGACAACCTCACCAAACAAATTTCAATAAAATACAAATACAAGACCTGTAAGTTATGAAAGTGTGAGGACAAATACAAGTTATCAGATTTCTCTCTCATGCTGCCTTCCATAGTCTTAAAAATAGTTTTCATTGTACAAAAATGTCACAGTCATTCTGACATAAATATGCTACTGTTTATGTAATGTATATGTCTAAAATTTCTGTTTTCACAAACCCAGAGAATTCTTGTGAGTTCCAGGGAGCCAAATTGAAGGATCCACCTTAAACAGGTCAGATACACCCCCCTCAATTCCCTGGTCCTAAAATTTTTTTC